CCATTCAGACACTGAGCTCCGATCAGCTGCTTAATACTGTTTTATCCCAAATAACACAACCATGCACGCAGGATGTGTGCAGTGTGTGTTTCACAGACACACAATGCACATACATAAACAGTGCATGCACTTCATATATGTAATGAAGTTGACTTGCAGATAATAATCAGGCAGTAGGAAGATGCTCTCAGATGAAATTATGAGCAAGAACATGCCAATGCTTTGTTCTGTGAGTTTCCTAATAATTTTCTAAAACATTTCCCAAAACTAAACAACTGATTATTGGTAAAATATGAAACGACTGCTCCATTTAAACCTACGTGAATATATATTTATAATTGGAGCTGACCTGTGCACTGATTTGAATACTTGGTTACACTTTGAATAAATTATTTGGGCTTTCTGAACACCATCTTTAGTTTTCCCATGACTAGTATCGAAAGACCAGCAAACGACTTTGAAATTTGTTAGAAAATTATTCAGAAATGACAGACCTGTAATCTTCTTTAAAGGGACAGTTCCCCCCAAAATCAAAAATACATATTATTCCTCTTACCTGTAGTGCCTTTTTTCAGGCCAGATTGTTTTGGTGTGAGCTGTTGAGTTTTGCAGATATCAGCCTGTTTCCATTTATTGTGTAACCAGTGAAATAAGAGTCTGCTGACAGTCGCTTTGGTGTTATGTGTGATTGCAAAGAGTTAGCAGCTTGATCAGACAGTATGTTGCAACATTGACTGATGTCATTGGGCACACCTGGAGGTTTGCAGTGACATACCCAGGGTTCTTTCCTTCTGTTCGTCCTCCTTTGACAGCCATTATAATTTAACTCAAATGTTATTTATGGAAATATGTTCATCTTCACAGGGCGATGTTTGTTATGACAAACTTTACTGTTATGAGTGGCACTCTGGCACAAACTGGACTGTTAATAAATTCCGAGCACTGCTGGAACATAGAACTGTTATGTATTTAGAGCACCACGCCCTCACAGCAGCAGAGCACCAAGCTCAGTGAAAGTAAAACTTAACTGTGCGTTAATTTATATGGTAATAGAACGCCCTATTTCTTCAAATAACTAGGGTGTCATACTGAATTTCAAACACATCCAATGAATAATCTTCCAGTTGTAACAAAACTATAAATGGTAAATGTAGATAAATTACTGGTTTAAGAATACTCTTGGGTAAAAAGTAGACATACACTTTTAAATAAGGAACAGTAACCTGGTCGCTCCTTAAAAAACCCCTGCTTTCCCTGTTATGTTAGCTGGCTCAGTGGTGCTAGGTGAGCTAGCAGTAGATGCACGCTTCCTTCTGCGCGATGATGTGGTTGACTGGTGTAGTTTGGTAGAAAGAAAGTAGTTCCTACAGGAAACTGCTCATAACAAGGTCTGTGGATGATCTTGAGTACCGGGGTCATGATTTGAGCATTAGCTGAACGCCATCTAGTTCCATTATATTTGAAAGAGGGCAAACATCTCTACGGCTGATACCTCCAACACTCGGCTGCTCACACCAAAACAATCTAGATTGATACATACAACTACAGGTCAGAGGAAAAATATGTAATTTTGATTTGGGGGTGAACTGTCCCTACAACCAGTATTGTGCCTCAGTGAGATTAAAAACATCTTGTAGAGAAGTGTCAGGATGAGATGGTAGGCGCAATTAACTCAGAGCTCAAGAGTCACAGTCAGAAGGGTCAAGGGTCATAAACGGCAAATTCAGCCTTTTGTTTGTCTTGGGTGAAAAAGTGGCCTTTTCAAATGGCAAATCTTTTCCCCCTAAAGCCCTGGTCTATCAACGGTCTATCACCTATCATGAGGATAAATAAGGAATATCCCACATATCCAGTGTCAGGCGTCCTGTCTGTGCCTTCAAAGAGCAGAGAGATGTTTTTGTTATTCATCCTGCCTCTTCAGTGCTATTGCCTGTTTCCCCTGGTTAGTAGTGCAAATGCACTACAAACACACACACACACACACACACACACACACACACACACACACACACACAGGCTTATCCTAATCCTTATGAAAACAAAGTGATATATTCTCGTAGCGCAGGTCAAGCGCGGGATGTTCATCAGCATGTTTATCAGGATTATGAGCATTTCATCCATAATATAACCTTTAACATCATACTTACCAAACACTCACTGTTACAAACAGAAAGCTGCCATGAGCATTGTGCAGAAATAAAGAGAGATGATTTGCAAAAAGACTGGTGACCATGACTTTTTCAGACCATTCCCACCAGTGAGCCATGACCCAGTGTGACCTTGTGACCCCCGCTAACTGACCTCTCAGTGGGTGGCCCTCACACTGACCAGCCTGGACCATGAATCAAAAGAAGTGGCTGCACTTAGATCAGATCTTTGTTATTTTTATCATCGGCTTATCCACTTTGAAAATACATTTTCGGGCTTTTTTTTTTTTTTTTTTTAAATTATACTTGTCCTTTGCACTTTTAATCCGTTTCTTTGCAATCATCAAATTCACTTTTGCTTCTACATAAAAAAGGACAACTTATATAAATCTCAAATTAAATATTGAAAATTTGTATGTTCCTGAATATACATGTACAGTATATATTAAGGGTCAGCAGTTTAAAAATATAGACTAGGGTTGCAACAGTACGAAACCATCTCAGAAAATATTGTGGTTTCATGGTTACATTACAGAATTTATATTATTTTTAGTCAGAATGACCAATATAGTAATGAATACATTACGTTTATTTTTGGTTCAACAAAATGTTTTATTACTATACTTGAAACATTTTGTTAATGAAAGTATGTTTAAAAAGTGTCCCCTTTGAAAATAACTAAAATAAAGGGGTGATTCTCCGTCCAGTTGCTTTTTCTTTTAGTATCGTAGATAAGCAAATGTACACTGTATAATAATCGTCAACTTTTATATCACAGTATACCTTAAACCTGGGGTATCAGTGGAACCCTAGTACAGACATGTGTATTACATATATGAATCTTAAAGGTCCAGTGTGTACGATTGAAGGGGATTTAGTGGCACCTAGTGGTGAACACTGCAGATTGCAATCAACTGAAACTTCTTCTGGTTAGAGTTTCTTTAGTGTTCGTTGTTCAGGAGGTTTCTACCGGGAGCTGAGATATCTACATGGGTGTCTTCCTCTTCAAAACAAACTGAACATGTGATTTCAATGAACTGAACTGAATGTTGGGTGTTACAAATTGGCGTTTCTTATACTGTTTGGCATGTCAGAGACGGACCGCACCTGCTAATGTGTGTTCACCTTATTTCTCTGGTAACTTAAAGGGGCAAAAAGCCAAATCGTTTCACCACTAGGTTTGCTGTTGTGCACTGCCTGTACTGCACCCCCCCCCCCCCCCCCCCCCCCCCCCCCCCCCCCCCNCCCCCCCCCCCCCCCCACTCGCCTCATCTGTGCCGGCGAGAGGAGTACCGCAGCACGGACTGTCCGCAGGCTCCGCTTCACTCAGCTGCCCGATTTACCCACTGCTTCTTTCCACATTAACCTGAATAACAAACCAGGGCTCTGTGCTCCGGTTGGATCCAAATGGAGAGCCAGGGCTAACGTTAGCTGGGAAGCTAGCTGAGGCTAACTGGCTGTGTTGGCAGCTGAGTGAAGTGGAGCCTGAGGAAGAAGCACCGGTTAGCCCCCGCTAGCTGGGAGGCTAGCGGAGGCTAACTGGCTGTGCTGGCAACTGAGTGAAGTGGAGCCCGAGGAGGAAGTACCGGTTAGCCCTGGTTTCACTACAGGCAGATTCACTCGCCACAGGGGTGAGGAAATAAAACCTAAACAGCCAACTTAGTTTGGCTTAGTTTAGCAGTTAGCGATGTCTTTCACTCACTCTCAGTCTTTGCTGTGTTTAGCTATTTCCCTGCTTTCCTGTTAGCGTTGGCACTAGTCGGCTGCCACGCTCACGTCCCTACTCTTCTCCGTGAGCCGGAGCTGTGAGCCTGCGAGCCCGCAAGCCCGCCAGGCTCACGGAGAAGAGTAGGGATGTTAGTGTTAGCACTAGTCGGCTGCCATGCTAACGTTCCTACTCTTCTCCGTGAGCCTGCAGCTCATGGCTCCGGCTCATGGAGAAGAGTAGGGACATTAGCGTTAGCTCCTGGAGTTAGCACTAGAGCTACTACGACTACTGGAGTAACTTACGGCTATGGAGCGCTTCTACCAGCTCTTCTAGTCACTGAGCCTTGCCTCCATCTCAGCAAATATATTACATTTATTACATTTATTATTATTGCTCAGGAGGTTTTTACCAGGAGGTGCATTATCCACAGAGGTCTCTTCCTCTCTAAAAAAAAATGGACCAGGTGATTTAAACCAATAGAAATACTGAATAAAGCAGTTTTATGTGAAAAAATAATCTGTTTTTCCAACACTGCTTGTCACAGAGGAGATGGTAGCCAATGTGAAAACTCGAAAAAATGAATGGTCCAATTAAGAGCCAGTTTTTGGTTTGTCCATTCTGGGCTACTGAAGAAACATGGCAGTGCAACCTGGCAATCTTCCACAGACAAAGACCCGCTCCCTATCTAGATTGTTATTTTCAGGTAATTATACACTAAAGAAAACCTACTTATCATATTATATTCCATTTCTGCCAATATATCCCCCTAAATCTGACACACTGGACCTTTAAGTTGTTGTCTGATTGAATGTCAGGGCAGGATTATGCCGTCCCAGTGTCAGAGAGGAAGAAAGTCTGCATGGCCAGGCAGCCATGTTAATCATAAATCTTTATCTTACAATCCTGCCTCGCACATCCGCCCTTTCATTAAAAGACGGCCAGAGGATTAGTGAAGCTAAACCACTGAGATCTGCAGAGAAAAATGAGAAACAAAGCCCTGAGTAAACAGGATCCCTCGCTCTGCTGACGGTGATGTTGAATTGATGGTGTCATGAGAGGTAGAATATCTATCTGTCTGTCTGTCTGTCTGTCATTTTAACAGCAAAGGAAACACAAAATCTTTTGACTGAATTGATTTTTTTTTTTTTACCATTTAATAACATCAAATTTTCCAAAAGCAAACAGAAATGAAAAAGAAACATTACATGGTATCCAATGCAAATGTTGTTGCAAATTAGATTTTCATTTTCAATTTCACAATATTAACCTGAGAATGGCATTTTTGCTTCTTCACCTTGATCCATGTTTAATCAAAACCTCCTCCCTCTGTAGACAGCAGCCTCCAAAGATCAGCTACATTGTGCTAGGAAACCTACCTCGAGTGCAAAACATGAAATACTGTAATAAACAAACAAAGAAAAGGACACAAGTGTAATATGAGAGATGAACTATCGGTCTAAGTAGCAAACAAAGAGAATATGTACAAACAGAAAAACCAGACGCACACCTGAACATCAGAACAAAGTTCATATACACGGTATTAAATTAGAGAATAAATAAAAATACTTTTAATTTATGTAGAATATCTGATGTTACCAAAGCTACATTAGAAGTGCTTAGATCTCAGTAACAGGACACTTGGTCAAAATGGCCAAAGCAACATTTCCTGTTAGGACTCTCAAGGTAGAGCTATGATCGGCCCCAAAGAATCAGATCTTACCCTCCACAAACCACCATAGTTTCTGTCCAAATTTGAACCATGGCAGCAGTTTTGGGCCAAAGCCTGATTAAAAACACAAATTTCCACTGTAAGAAAAATGATAATTTTCTTGAATTTAAAACATTAATCACAAGCTAAAGTCAATTTAAATCTTTTCAGTGTGGAAACAGACATATGAAACAAGAACTTGTGAACCAGACCTGAATCAAGCCCAGAGGAATTTTGAGAAATTATAGTGCGACCTGAACCTAGCGGGTCAGGTTAGGCCCAATTGGGCTCGGGCAGAGAATCAGTTTTTAAGAAAACGTGTTGGTTTAAGTCAAATATTTTCCAATTTTAACAATGTTCAGCAGTGCTAGTCTAAGTGCACCACACATGTAAACAAACACGTTATTCTACACTTCCTCTACTAGCAGACTGTCTACGGAGAGACCGATCCTTCAGTCAGTGTCAGCTAGTGTTCATGAAGATGATCAGTCCCGTTGTTGGCTGAAGCAGACTCGATCCTCCTGATGTATCTTAGTCTCTGTAGACAGAGGTTATCTGTCGTGGGGGCATGTGCGGCGGATGGTAGGAGTCATATGGCCCTTCTAAGTGTACGTCATAGCCAGTCTGAGTCTGATACAGGCCCTGGTCCACAGGGGAGGGGGAGTAGTGGTGTGTTGGTGGGTAGTGGGGTGAAGGCTCCTGTTTGGGCACCAGGTTACTGCTGATGCTGAGAGGTGGTGTAGGGGGGCCGTCATACGGAGGGGTCCCCACACCACCGGCGTTATACTCATTTGGTGAATGATTCTCGTACACTCCTCCTTTCATTGCCCTCAGGTGAAGCAGGTGAGCAGAATCAAATGTGCCATACGGTGGACTTGGCAGTCCTGGAGAAGAGTAGCTCACCACGCCACCGAGAGGAGCAGGTGCTGCCTGAACTCTGTGTCTGTCCTCAGGCCTCATCCCGACACCGGAGGCTGGTCCCAGCTGCAAGCAGCCAGCCACCAGGTTGGTGGTGGGCTGTGAGAGGCCCTTACACAGTGTCTCCATGAAAGCCCTGCTCTCTGTGGAGAGGCCCCCCTCCAGGGCCTCGGACAGAGCGCAGATGTAGTTGCGGGCCAGCCGTAACGTCTCAATCTTGGACAGTTTCTGTGTTTTGGAGTGACATGGCATGATGGTGCGCAGGTTCTCCAGTGCATCATTTAGACCGTGCATACGTGAACGCTCCCTGGCATTAGCCTTCACGCGCCTCGCACGGAATCTCTCTTGTCGAGCCTTGGTCATACGCTTTTTCTTGGGCCCACGTCGTTTGGACTCGTTTTCATCCTCCTGTCCTCCCTCCTCATCCTCCTCCTCTTCCTCTGCATCCTCACTCCCCATCTCCCTGTCCTGCTGGGTCGCTCCACCTGCTCTGTAGCGGTGTGATGAGCATGATGCATCTCCATCAGGTGAGCTCATGTCTCCATCCATCCACTGCAGAGGGCTGGCAACCTCCTCGCCCTCGCCTTGTCTCATGTATGGCTTAATCATCATGGTACTCTAGAAATAAGAAAACATCTTTGTCAAACACATGATGGACAAACAAAAACTTTTTTTAAAATCATTAGTACAATTATAACCACAATAATAGGCAGGGGTCCAAACTGTTACTGCAAGTGCTGCATAGTGAAGCTAAATACTGCACTCAACTACAACTTTGAGGTATTTATACTTAATAATAGTTTAAGTTTAGTAAAAAATACATTTTTAAGCAATTGTCTTTGTATTTTACATTTTAAATTTTACATATAAGGTACTTTAAACTACCAACTAAACCAGCTACAGCCAAATAACAATGAAGTTAAAATATAGCACCCATGTTTTAACTCAAATAAATAAATCTGAATACTTTTTGTACCTCTGAATAACATCTGACCGCCTTTGTTAAGACTCAATAAGCTGCAGACTCTTGATGTTGTCTATGACTGCTCTTGCCATCAAGTCATGATACTAAGATTATGTGTCAAACTATCACAGTGCCAAGTTTACACCAAGCTGAAACAGGTATCTGTGCATGAATCAGCTGACTACAAAATTTTGTTCCCCTGAATTTTAAGTGACAATAAATTATTACAAGGCGAAGAATCAGCTGCAGCTGTGAGGACACAGAGGTCAAGTGCTTGTTAATTTTTTCCTGAGGGCTTTACCAACCAACAGGACGTTTACAGATTGTAATTACACATAGTGAGTATGCTAAATTACAGTATTTTAACACTGAATATGGTTTAATTTGAGTACTTTGAGGGCAATACAAAACAGCACAGCACAGCCATTCATGTTAGTAATAAGATTTATAGAAAATATAAGTTACTGGAAAATGGAATAAAACTGAAATAAAATCTTCTGTCTGAGGAGGTTAAGGGGTGCACCAGGGGGACTCATTCCTAAAATTCTGGCTACAGCCCTGTAAATGATGTAACATCATGTTACAAGTTTTCATTCACCATTAATAACCAATAAAAATATATATATATATAACTATTTCAACTGTGACTGTCAGAAGTCCTCAAACAGTTTCAGCACCGGACAGTTCCCTCTTGCTCCTCAGCCACAGGTGTTGCAGCTGACTGACTGACCGACGATATACTTTGACGCAAGTGATGGCTACATGAATTTTTATATACGTGCATTATCTATCTATCTCTACCCCTGTCCTCCCCCTCTCCGCCGCTCTCTGCGGGTAATCCCGGTCAACTTGTGAACTGGTAATGCCCCCGGCGAGATAAAGTCACTGACAGGACTTCAATCTGGGGCATCGCAGGATTTTCTCCGTGGATGAAGCGACGACCATGGGATTAAATGAAAGATCGACGTCCCCAGATCAGTGACAGACGACTCAGATTGAATTGAAATCAGACAAACGCACAAATATTAATGCCTCGCCACAAATTGCGTGCTTGAGCTCCTATTTGCTAAATGTCATCTGAGGCATAAAAGAATAAGCTTTTACTGCGGGTAGTTTCATCAGACTTATTCACAGCCTGTTGACTTTATGTGTTTTAGTTGGAAACCAGAGGTTTGTCAAAAACTATAACATAAATAACAGATGCGATTGAAAATAAACTCTAACAGGCGACATAAATCACTTAGTATATTAAAACTTGTTTGAAACATACCCGCGCTGATGCGTCCCGGGACCTCAGGAAGTTTGGCAGAAGATATTTCTCTCTGTCTGTGTGTGTGTCCACTGTCAAACAGCGATGAAGTGTGTGTCCCTGTGCAGAGCTGTCCCGCAGAGTCTCAGTGCGGGTCACTCTGCGGGGGCTCCGGGTTTTAACCTCCACGTTGAAGCTCCTCCCTCTCCCATCCAATTCCTGCTGACGCGCCAGAGCTCGCGCGTGGCCGGCCCGTGGCTCGAGCCCCTGGAGCTCCACTTGTCGTCTCCCTCTGTGTGTGTGTGTGTGTGTGTGTGTGTGTGTGTGTGTGTGTGTGTGTGTGTGTGCGCGCAGGGTCACGGAGATGTGCATAAGCTCAGTGCAGCTCTCCAGACAAACAGGAGAGGCCCGGGCCCTTTGTTGCTCCGTGAGGGCGGCCGCCAAATCCTCAGCACGTTTGCATTGAGCGCAGCAGAGACGCGCTCAGTCGGCTGAGCCTAACTGTATGTGACAGCTTGAAGTTGCGTGTGAGCAGGTGTTTGCTCCATCCCCTCTTCCAGCCATCCATCCCTTCGCACTGCGGAGACAGGCTGTTGAACAAGTTCATTTCACCCAAGAGGCTGCTCTGAGCAGACGGGGTAAGTTTGGTCACATGAAACATTAAGTGTTACAGCATCAGTATCTCAGGGACTCATTAATGCTCTCCTCTCTGCAGTATGTAGGGCCATACCTTCTGCAGCTTAAATCACCATAACTCATGCTGAATGTTCTGGTCACATCCTTTGATCCCTGAGTGAAACTTTAAATACCACAATATTAAATATACTCCATTACAATTAGAGATTCTGCATTCAGAGACTTACTTAAGTAAAATCAGCAAAATGTAAAATATCAAAAGTAAAAATATGAGCGTGGATTATTATTATTATTATTATTATTATGAATTATTGATGTCCAGCATTTACATTTTTGGTCTCAGGGGGCCCAAAACCCCTTTCTTGGGATGTGTTTCTGGCAAAATGATGTAAATGCAAGTATCAGGGCACTATGATGGCATAAATAGTGATACAAGTATGAATTTTGGCAATGAGTATTCTGAAACAAACAGGAAAGTAGCAAAATAAGATTCTAGGGCTTGTTCTCATTTTATTTCAACATGTCACACACAACATCCCCAGAAAAAAAAGACTGTCCGTTTAACAAGTTCTCATCGAAAATGATTATTTTTCATCCCTTTGTGTTTAATATTACTGCTTCACTTGTACATAGAAAACATCCCGAGTTGATAAGCTTCAGTTTGAGCCAAGTTCAAGTTGACATTTCTGTCTTGAAAATTGCACTTGTTTTCTCCCAAATTTGTCACTATACCTCATATCAGAGAAAGCAAAATTTTAAGTCACTAGCCTTCCAGAGAGTCAATGATACTATAATACTCTTGAGGGAAGTCCAGGGGACCAAAACACAGATTTGATTTTTATTTTGAATATTAAAAGCACAATGACTCACAAATACCAGGGTATAGCACTTAAAAGCATTACTAAAACACTTGTTTCCAAAGTGGTACCCGGTGGAGTAAGAATATACACCTAACTGCATCATAAACGTACTCATCTCCCTTGCAACTCCACGCCCATGGTTCAAATGACCTCCCTCAGAGGTGAACCTCAACTCTCACCACAGTACCTCCTTTACTTTTGTTTAAATATTGCCTGTGTTTGGCTTTGTTTGATTTCTTTTTGCAGGGGCAGTTTGTTCCATACGGAGATCCCAGAATAGAAAAATTAGCTTGGCTTCCAACCATGTCAATTTGATAGCATTATAATTTGATTTGGTAGCCTATAACCAATAAATTGTGATGCCGAGCAAGAGCAGTGTGTGAGACCGTCTTTTCCTCAGGATCAAGTGATATTTTCCAGTGCGTCTGCATCTGAGATAGCCGGATGTGCAAATATCTCCTCTTAAATAAGTATGTAAAACCTGAATCTGCACAGTAACCGTAACTCACAGAAAAACAAATGTGTTAGCTGGAACAACAAATGGCTCTTTGGAGTGATGTCTTAGAAGAACAAGCGTGAACCCGCAATAGCTGTGACTATGTACGTGCATGCATCCATCCACACATCAGCCCTTCTTTGCCTCATGACTAATATTTCTACAAAATCTTGGACAAGTCTGTAAATCCATTTGGAAGTTATTTGTCTATTTGCGATAGGCCCCTCCTATTGTCACGCTTCCCTTTAGTAAATAGGCATGAACACAAACACCTTCACACATATTTGAACTTCATGCCAAAGTTCAGCCTCCTATAGAGCTAAAACTGTGGCCACCAAAGGTTGGAGAAATCTAGTGTAGTACGTAGGTAAAAGTATTTTGTTATATTTCAGCACTAGTATTTTTCAGCAGGTCAATAGCTGCATCATCATGACAACAAAGTCCCCTTTGCTGGATGTAATTATGTATAGTATACATTTTTTTTTTAATTTTCTTTTTGTATCCTGTGTTCTTTTAACATCAGGTTGTGTTGTTTAAGTGCTAACTGGTTAACTAGCGTCTTGAATCCGTCATATTGGTCTTCCATTTTTACTTTTTGAATGATGAATACAGACTACTGCTGCTGACTGGTACGGAGAGTTATTTCTACTTATGCAGGCACAGAATGTACGAGCTACTTGGCTGTTGGCTGTCAATCTGGAAATCCATCGGTTAAAAAAAAAAAAAAAGTTTTTTCTTCCTTTACCTCTGGAGGCACAGCCTGGAGTTTTTCGACTAACGGAAGTGCTGGGGCCTCGGCGATCGATCACGCCCTTCACTTTTGGCGGTGCCCCCAGGGAATCGCCGCGTTGTTTACAAATACTTCGGGTAGAAAACCAGCAGAGTTTAGCTATATATCACATTTTTTACGTCACTATATCACCGTGTAGACTAATCTGATGTTTGTTAAGTCTATAAACACAATGACTGAACAAACGTTACTATTTCTGTGTGCACGTTTTGTAAATAACAATAATAACATCGTAGATTAGCTGGGCTAACCGTTAGCTGTTAACGTTAGCCGTTTGCGGTGTCTGTAATAACCATAGACTGTATAAAAATAAGGTAATAACTCAATAAACGGTCCGTGAATAAAATATTTTTTCCAGCGGATATCTTAGTTACAACATGATTGAGCTAGCAAAGCAGTTTTGTGTTGCTATGTGTGGTATTTATTCAGTTATGGGAAATCACGATGTCTAGAAAGCATCAGTGACTGCAGCTAACAGGGACAGTTAGCAAAGCTAACATTGGGACGTCATCTGTTAAAAGCCTCCTGTTGTTTGAGACGACATGAAACTACTCCAGTTTGCTCAATCATGTTGAAACTCAGACATCCGCTGGAAAATTTTTTTATTTTTTTTTCCACGTTGACGAGACGGAGGTTTGGGTGGAGCGCTCGCTATGGACGCAGAGCTTGCTGTTTCTGTAGGTACACATTTCCTGGGGACACCTGCACGTCTCGGCCACCATTGTGATTGGCTAAAGCGCAGCATCGTTCAAACTCAAAGCCCCGCCCTCCCCCCCCCTCTAGTCGTCTTTCCCACAGGGCTGCCGACAGATTCTACAATGTAAATTGCAGAATCTGTCTTGAGAGATTAGTTGGCTGTAGACTTTGCATTGTGTTCAGGTGCAACATTTGTCCAAGACACAAGTCAGCCTTTGCCACCACTAGTCAGACTGTTCTAACAATTTTTTCTTATGTTTTCCATTGAAAAGCAGTGCACCCAAATTCATACATATCCCATGTATTTTGAAAGGCTGCAATCATGTGGCCAATGTTGGGGAGGTGGAAGAGTCACAAAAAATGGACTTTCATCAAAGACTTTCCCCAGGATGTGTGTTAACTTTGAGTGAACTTTGAGTCATTTTAAGGTATGTCCTCACTCTGCTTCTTTTCCTAAACCTAACCACAGAAACTTTTATTGCTTAAACATAATCTCCATAACTTTATGTTAATTACACAACTGTACGTTAAGGATGTAACATATTTCGTCGTGCGCAAATTCATAAGATATCATATGAACTGTTGTGCACCATATCATGTGAACTGTTCCATGAGAATACATTACATTAGTTCTTTGATTTTGATTTGGTGTGTGTGGGCCTTCATAGGTAAAATTAAAAAAAAACAACACAAACTCAAGTGTAAGGACAAGTTAAAAAAGTGAATTATAATTTTGGTCATATCCTGTCCCTGAACCACACTAACGTTCTGTGGCAAAGATTTGAACAACAAGAGAATTGACATGATTAGGAAACAGAGCACCACATGCTCTAACAGAGAGGCTTAAGGTTGGTTACAAGGTGATCTGCACACTCAAACTATGCGCTTCTCATTCCCAGGCCGACCACCTACGCCACTGCTCCTCCCAGTGGGTCTCTGCCTTTCCTATTCCACACCTGCAGCCTGAAATGGGAATAGCAAAGCCGGGCCTCTTGCATCCCCAGAGTGGGAGCAGCAGGGGAATATGATATCTGAGGCCTAGTGTCCCCATTGCATTACCTCATCACACTGTTTATGATACTAAAATAAACTATAATTTGTATTTAATTTTAGGGATACGAGTTGCATCCCAATTTGCTAAATACATCCGTCAATACAAAACTGCTCTTTTTCCTTTATCATTTTTCTTTTTCAGTTTGACCCACTTACTGTGTATCCCCCAGTCTTCACGTTCCACAAGTGGTGCTCACGTCTGATACTGTATGTATGCCATAATGTCCCCCAGGCCCCTCAGTGCTGACCGCACATGATGAAGTCCTGCTGCAGATGGCCGCCTCCTAAACCCTGCTCTTATTTTAACGGTCTGTGGCTCAGATGCTCATCTATTCTCCACTGGCTACTCAGCTCACTCAGCATGTTCACATTGCTCAGAGGACACTGCCTCACCTTTTCTAGGTATGTTCACGAGATGGGAATTGAGTTAATTATGATGAAAATATGAAGAACACATAAAACTTCACTCCAGTACACACACAAACATGACCTTCCCATGAATCCCCAGTGTGTCTGTTTGTGACAGTGGGAGAAAGTGGGCTTTGTCCATCTGTCATACTGGAAGTCCTCTGAGAGATACCAACCCCACAGCATGAGGAGTGTGTG